GGTCACATAAGGATGGCTAGAGAAAGTGAGGAGCACAACATAGAGGGGAGGTTGGCATTAAAAGAAGGAATTTGCTTCATTCATGATTAGGCCTACCACCTAAATATTTAGATGTTCCTGAAGGCTTAGCATTTGGTGACATGATCTCTGTGGCCCTCCTAACAATTTCTGTCAGTCCTGTGATTTGAAGTCCTTAGTCTACATTTGAAGCTTGGGCATGGAGACACCAACTGTATGTATAGTAGTCTCCTCTTATCTGTGGTTTCACTTTCCATGGCTTCAGTTACCCATGGTCAGCTGCACCCTGAAAATATTAAATAGAAATTCCAAAGAGAAACAACATATACATTTTAAGTTGTGTACCATTCTAAGTAGTGTGATGAAATCTTACACTGTCGTACTCTGTCCCTTCTTCACCACAAGAGGAAAGGTGATACAGTAAAATAAGATATCTTTAGAGAGAAACCACATTCACGTAACTTTATTGCAGTATAACTGTTCTCTTTTACTATTAGTTATTGTTAATCTCTTACTGACCTAATCTATAAACTAAACTTTATTATAGGTATGTATATATAGGAAAAAAAACAAGAGAGAGTGTGTGTGTGTATATATATATTTATATATATGGTTTAGTACTCTGCAGTTTCAGGCATCTACTGGGAGCCTTAGAATTTATTTCCTGAGGATAAAGGGGAACTCTTGTATACCTAGTGGTATTTTATCTACCATGTGGCCAGATGAAGGTATTTTTTATTCTTAAACAGCTGCAGTTAGAATTTAAAGAACCCAGTTTATAGAATGTAGCCAGTCATGGATTGGAAATTTCAGGTCCCACAGCTGTTTTCTGAAGCAGCTTTTGCCAAGTGTAGCACTTGAGAGATGGAGAAGAATGATTCTATACAGTGTTTTCACACTATTGTGACCTGCAGGCTCTCTCTACTTTCAAGCTTCTATTTTGGTAATGTTATATTTTCCATCTCCATTAGTTCAGCTGCAATAATGTCCTCAGTCAGGATAGGTACATAGTGTCTTGAGGAAGAGCAATAAGTCTTTTTGGTGAGGTGGGCTTGTCAGCAAATCAAATTGATAACATTTTTACATGGCCTTTTATTTGCTTGATTTTCAGCCTGAGTTGCTTAATAAATATGGATGTTCTGTCCAGGGGATTTTCATTCTCATTATGGGACTGTGTTGCATTGCTGTTGTAATCGGTTTATGACTTCTCCAGTTATCTCTGGGAGTGCTATCAGGGTGGAACGTCTTTAAGCTCCATTATGAAAAGCTGTCGTGTTAGCTATTTGGCCTTCAGAATGGCCAAATCGTTGTCAGAGTTGCTTTGCTTTTGGGGTTCTATAGTGTGTAACCTGATTGAAAAATGGGCCCTGGCTCTTTTATGAGCAGGGGAATTGGATAGAGGATTTCTACCTTGCCAACATTCCCATTTACAACATTAGCACTTACAGGAAACTTCACTGCCATTTGAACCTGGCCATGAATGCCACATATAAAGATGCCAGTACCATTTGGGAATGTTGTTATCTTCATCTCACAGACAAGTGATGGAATTAGATATAAAAAGTGAACATTAGGACAACCTCCTGTCCTCAATTATGAATATTCTGCTTATGTTGTAAATACTAACCAAAGACTGCCTTCTTTCATGACTGGTATAGTTTTAAAAGCTATTTTTAATGTGGACATGGTAAGCAAGTCAGGCAAGGTATTGTTTTGTCGCCTTTGCATTCTTTTGGAAAAGCTTTTAGTTCTTTTATGAAGAATCCTGTTATGCCCTTTCTTATCCAAGAAGGGACCACAAAACAGGGTAAAAATTGTTAAAATTATGTATTATTTGAAACATCTGTTAATTTTTTTCCACGATTATTTCCAGAGACAAATTAAAGACTGTCAAGTACATGGAAAAATACAGATGACGCTTCTCTTGTGAGAAGATGTTGTTGATATATTTGACCTCATTTGCAGGCCCCAAGGAACAGTGGACGTTGTCTGATAGTGTCGCAGAACTTTTGGTTTTCTTAATAGCATCTTATCCTTAAACATTGTTTTAGCATTCCAGTGGTATAAACCGTAAATGTTTTTTCTTCTTTAATTTTTTCTATTTTTTTCCCATAGGGATATTTGAACAGCCAATGTTTAGTGGATTAATATAGATAGCTGTATTAGTCGGGGTTCTGCAGAGAAACAGAACCAGTAAGATATGTAGAGAAAGCAAGAGATTGAGATTCATTGGTTGATTTTTAAGGAATTGACTCTCATGCTTGTGGGTGTTGGCAAATCTGAAATCTGCAGAGCTGGCCAGCAGGCTGGAAACTTAGGTTAGACTTGATGTTGTAGTTTTGAGTATGGATTCCAAAGGGCAGGAGGATGGAACTCAGGCAGTTTCTGTGTTGCAGTGTTGAGAAGTTATCCTTGAACGGAAAGCTCAGTCTTTGCTCTTAAGGCCCTCAACTGACTGAGTGAGGCCCGCTCACATTGTGGAGCATAATCTGCTTTACCCAAAGCCTACTGATTTAAATGTTAATCCTATTTTTTAAATGTCTTCACAGAACATATAGACTGGTGTTTGACCAAATAACTGAGCATCATAGCCAAGCCTCATTGACATGAAAAATTAACCATTACAATCACATTATGATTATGGTGAACATTTTGAATGTTTTAGAAGAAAAACAGAGATATCGTCTCCTGGGGTAATACACAAAGCACACAAATAGGGGAAGGTGCTACTGAAACAGAGAACATATGTAGTTCGGAACTGTGTGGTCCTAATTAAATGCAGAGTTTCTTTTCTTTTCTTTCTTTTTTTTTTTTTTGAGACGAAATTTCGCTCTTGTTGCCCAGGCTAGAGTGCAATGGCAGGAGCTCAACTCACGGCATCCTCCACCTCCTGGGTTCAAGCGATTCCCCTGCCTCAGCCTCCTGAGTAGCTGGGATTACAGGCACCTGCCACTACATCCAGCTAATTTTTTGTATTTTTAGTAGAGAAGGGGTATCACCATGTTGGCCAGGCTGGTCTCAAACTCTAAAGGCAGACTTTCAATCAGCATTCCATTATGCAAATTCAGCTTGCAGAAATGTTTATGTTTGACTCATATTGTAGTTTTAAAAATGGATTAATTGCCAGTATTTAAAAATTGGGAAAACACACAGCAATAAAATCTAGACATTTTAGTTTCCTCAGAAGATCTGGCAACCAAGGTTCTTATTCCCACTTAGTAATGATTGACAGTGAGTAGTAGTTACCTCATTCAGGCACACATTTCCCATTGAGCTGCTGCACTTATTTATATTAACTACTAGGCTCTTGGTGGTGTTTGAGAGGATGACCTCTTGCCGTAAGGAAGAGAGAGATCCTGTGGGCTAGTGAGGTTCTGTGGAGGATCCTAGTTTTGCCTTGATTAAGATTTAGATAAGCAAAATGAGAAGGGGATATGTCAGTTGACTTTAAAAGAAAGAAGCAAAGATGCATGGAGGTGGGACTGTATGTAAGAAAATTTGCCTAACCAGAAGAACAAGCCTGTGAGATTGGGTGTAGGAGAGGGTAAGATTGAATTATCAGACAGGAGCTAGCATGATAATTAAGGCAACATTGTCCTTTTGACAATTAAACTTCAAATTGTCTGTGCCTTAAAACAACTGAAGTTTATTTCTTGATTATGTGAAGTTCAAAATAGGTGTTCCTAGTGGGCAAATCTCTCAAGCAGTTTTGTCTTTTTCCATCTCGTGGCTGTGCCATCTTCACCCCTTCTGAAGTCACAGCAGAAGAGGAAAGAAGATGAATGATTATGTAAGGCAGCAGGTTTCTGTCAAGCATACCTGAAAGTGGTGCACATACTTTCTGCTCACATTTCACTGGCCACATCCTCCTGCAAAGGAAGGCTAGGAAATAGAGTCCAGCTGTGTTCCCTCAGTAAAAGAAGAAACAGGGCTAGTGAATGACTAGTCAATCTCTAGCACAAGAGACAGGGGCATTGGAGGTAAGCAGGCAAGAGCTGCTGTATGATATAAGATATTTATTAATCCGTTTAGCATGTAGTTACAGACTACTTCTCTGTGTTGAATGCTGTGCTATGCACCAGGTAGACTTTTGAGCAAAGAAGCAATGCGGTGAAAGTGCTGTTTTGAGGAATTAGCCTGGGGGCAGAATATAAAAACAAGAGAAAGCAAATTCTTAGTCAGAGGGGGATGGTGAAAAACCTGCTATCTTTCTCCAGCTGAGAGCTAATGAGATTGTGTGGGTAAAGAGCAATATTAATAGTATCAATGACAATCATAGTTACTATGTGCCATGCAGTGTTACAAGCTACTTTATGTGTACTTAACTGTCACTCAAATTTATGACGTAAGTGCTATTACTCTCCTTTTCTAGACGGGGAAAGCAAGTCTTCAACTGATTAAGTCATTTGCCCAAATTCACATAAATCTTGGCAGGGCTCGAGGATTTAAACTTAGGAAGTCGATGTTGTTTTATAACTGCTGTAGTATTAGTGAAATGGAAATCAATCTAATGAAAACATTGTGAGCTTAAGTGAACAATAATGAAAACTATATTATTAATTTGAGAAGGACACTGTGACTTTCTAAAAGACCTTCATAACCTGAAGAAGAAGAAGAAGAAGAAGAAGAAGTGAAATTGGATAAATGACCTTTCAAGAAATCTCCCTATTCTTGGGCACACTTGACTGGATTTAGTTAACTTCTAATGAGTTTTTGGTGAAATCTGAGCTGTTTAAGAATATGACATCTTTTTAACCCACTGAAAACCAAATCATTGTGTCTTGAGGAAAAGCAAGTCTTTAATTCTTTGTTCTGATAAATATGCCAGAACACCAATTTCTGTATCTGTGTCATGTCTTTTTCAGGATTGAAATGGGTATAATTTCATATAATGGACAAAATAATATGTGTCTGGTATTTCCAGAAATATTAATAAACACCAGAGACTTTGGGTTGTTGATATAAAGTTCTGTTTTTGGCAGTTGACTGTTGGGATGGCCCGGATGGAGAGCCAGTAGTACATCATGGTTACACTCTCACTTCAAAAATTCTCTTCAGAGATGTTGTGGAGACCATCAACAAGCACGCCTTTGTGAAGAATGAGTAAGTACAGCAGCACCCGCGAGCTAAGCGGTAGCTTCCCGCATGGAGCTGCCTGATGTAATGTAGCTACAAAACCATGTCCTGTTCCTTGGACTCTACACTGCCCTCTACCAGCCTAGTTTTCTCCTTCCTTCTCAGCAAAACATCGTGAACAAATAATGCGGCCTTCACGTTTGTACTTTCTCATGCTGCATAGATTCCTTATCCCATTCTTTCTCAATATGCCTCCTTAAAGACGTTCTTGGAAACAGTGACCTGTAAATTTGTAAATCCAGGATGTCAAGTGTCCATAAAATCTGGAAACATAGGTTACTATGTACATAATTAGTGGGTTTTGGTCATGATGGATGTCTTATCTATACACTGAGGTGTCTGGAGTCCTTATGTTACTTGACCTTCTCCTGTCATTTGACAAAGTTGAGTATTTCCTTGTCTTTTTTGACTTCCATTATATCATTCTCCCCTCCATTGCTCTCATTGCTTCTCAATCTCTTTTTTTTTTTGTCCTGTGGTCTTCTATTAATCTATTTCCTTACTCCTTTAATGGTTAACCGTTTTCTAAGGTGTTGCCCTAGATCTACTTTCTGGAAATTTATTAAATTCTATGTCCAGAACTTTTCCCCTAAGTTCTAGACCCATGTCGAAAAATACTCAGTGAGGCCGGGTGCGGTGGCTCCTGTAGCACTTTGGGAGGCTGAGGAGGGTGGATCATGTGAGGCCAGGAGTTTTGAGATCAGCCTGGCCAACATGGCAAAGCCCTGTCTCAACTAAAAAAATACAAATATTAGGTGGATGTGGTGGTACACTTCTGTAATCCCAGCTACTCGGGAGGCTGAGGCATGAGATTTGCTTGAACCCGGAAGGCAGAGGTTGCAGTGAGCTGAGATTGCACCACTGCACTCCAGCCTGGGTGACAGAGTGAGACTCCAACTCAGAAAAATAAAAATAAAAATCCTCAGTGAATATTCATCTGAGTGTCTCATAGGTGTGGGGAGCCACAACAGTGAGCAGGAGATAAGACTCCTGCCATTAAGGAGCTTACTCCCCAGGGGGAACTCAGCATCTCAGTCTGCCAAACCTCCTCTTGCTTCTCACTCCATTTCCTCTTGTTGATAGTTAGGGGCAGCACTGGCTTCAGCCAGAAACTGGGAGTCATTCTAGACTCAACCAATTCTTGGCAATTCTACTTCCCAAGTTATCTTTTGACTCCATTGCCTCCTGTTCATTTTTTTTTTTTTTTTAAATTTATTTATTATTATTATACTTTAAGTTGTAGGGTACAAGTGCATAACGTGCAGGTTTGTTACATATGTATACTTGTGCCATGTTGCTGTGCTGCACCCATCAACTCGTCATTTACATCAGGTATAACTCCCAATGCCCTCGCCTCCCCCAGAGGCTGCGTTTACAAGAGACAGGCAGGTTCCCTTGACAGCTACGCTGTGAGCTCCCCTACCCAGTTTCAGAAGCTTTCCCAGCAGCTTGTTATACCTAACTTAATAGCCATACAGCAATGCAGGGCGCCCTCCCCAAATGTGTATAAAAATCATCTCAGCTGCTAGCTTGACAAAAAAAAAACTGCCTTGCCGGTAGATCACCGCACTGCTGTGCTAGAATGAGGGGCGAAAAAAGGGCTCCGTGGGTGTGGGCACCCTCCGGCAGTGTGTGTGGATACTGAATCTCTGGTGTGCCTGTTCGCTTAAAGCGCAGTATTAGGCGGTGGGAGTATACCCGATTTTCCAGGTGAGTTGTGTTTCCTCAGTTCCCTGGTAGGAAAGGGATTCCCTTCCCCTTGCGCTTCCCAGGTGAAGGCATGCTCCACCCTGCTTCAGCTCTCTTCTGGTCGGGCTTTTTGCAGGCAGGCTGACAGGCACCGATCGTCCGGCCACTCCCCAGTGAGATGAACCCAGTACCCTCAGTTGAAATGAGAAATCACCGGTCTTTTCGTGTCGCTTGCTGGGAAGTT